TTCACAAATAAACTTCAACCTTAATAAGCAGAACAATGTCACGTGAAGGCTTTGAATACTACATGAATCATCAGTTATAATTGTGTCGGGCCGCGAAACAACTCACCAATCTAACTGATCACAATGTCATTCAATTTTACACATAGAAGCATTGAACATGATCTTGCCCGTCATCTGATTCTATGACTCTTGGGGCTGAGCATCCTCATGCCTTCTGCTTAACCATGTCCTTGTCTGCGCCATGCAGTGTACGCAGCTCAGCTCAAGGAACACAACCCTTAATTGCCTCTGTCAATGGAATAGTACGCAACATGTATATTCACGGAAAAAAAGTACTCTCTTCTTTTTTTATCACCATCTAGATGTTCTAACCAAAATTGAACAAAACATACGAGCAAGCTAGCACTCTTTATACAGTAGTTAAGCACACGAAATGCACATCTTGACTACTATAAATACAAAAAATATGAATTGTAAGTGTTAGGAGTGTAAAAAATACATATGCTTTTAGACTAAAAATAACCTCTCTAGAATTATGCCAGCCTATGTGTTATGCTTATAGGTGAAATACGTACATGGCCAGCCACAAGACAATGCAAGAGATTGTCCATCACTTCCATAATAAAATGCTCAGTTGTACCGAGTGCAGAATTTCTTTTTTTACCTCTATGACATATTAATGATCTATCATCAAAAGATTCAGGCAGGTCAATGAGGTCATGTATACCAGGTTGCCGCCAATAGACGATCGCCCAGGCTTCTTGGTTTATCCTTTTCCTTCAAAAGCTCCACATAGTCACCTGTCAGAATAACACTTCAGTATACCAAGAAATGAGTTCATGTGTTTATAGTTAAACATCCCTTCATGATCATCTATTTGCTTATTAGATTTAAGAAAAAACTCAGATGAGTATTAGATCAATACTCTGCAACCACAACTGAATTGGCATTGCCATCATCATTGTTGCAGACCTGCAGTCCTCATGCAATCACACACACCACCGTCATCACAAGGGCATTCATGCCATGGTAACTGTGTATTTAAAAGAAAAACGATAATCAAAATAGGGCCTTGGTGTTTCTTTTTCATGCTCAGACATGAACATGGCCACAAAAAGGGGTTTGGCACGCCCTATTAACCCTTTAGAAACTCCCCTACCCATAAGTAAGACCATCTATGATTACGCAACCTTCCATATATAGCCTAGATAAATGATGAAACCAATTGAAGATCCTCTGCATGCATATAAATTGTAGAAGAAAAGTTTTGGTAAAAAAATCACAACAAACTAACTTTAGAATGTTGCAAATGTACTGGCACCCAGTCACAGTATATATGCAATTATGCACGAGTCTATGATTCTGACACAAGGATCAAATAGACAACAATTTGGAGCATGGTGTTGTGTGACATCTCACAAAGTGAATGAATGAATTTTCGATTGTTACAGAAAATTGCATATATAGATTTTCAATGTAAAAACGAACTTTATGCCCATGTTATTTGTACATACATAATGTCTTTCTTGGTTCCCGAAGAGGTTCAGTATAACCATCCTAAGTAAGCAATCGAACATACCTTGAATCACTTTAGCAAAAATATTGCAGACGAAAGTAAGTCCAGCCCATGTCTTATCAACTGCAAAAAGATTCCTCGGGCAAAACTTGCAAAAAATGATCACCCTCATATCTACTGTTTGATATCAACAATCTCCTGAAACATGTCATCAGACAAACCATTTTTGGTTCAGTTTGAAGGCATGGCCAAAATGAAGAGTACTGTGATATAAAAGGAAACAAAAACATCATAGACATAGGAACACTATGCATGCTGAACAATTATATGGGTCTGACATATGGAGTTAGCAGTTTCCCTAAAACAACAACTTTCTGAATATTATTGTCTCGACATTATGCCCACAAAAGGAAAGAGAAACCTTATGTAAACAAAATATTACAGTGGACAAACAAAGAGTTTTTCAGAAAAAGGAACACTTCCCAGGAAACTTACAGTCCTTGAAGAAAGGATAACCTTCCTACAAATACACCATCCAATGCAGGTACATACAGTTTTCATTGTGAACAAATGATGCAACATACAGATTCAGGCCAATGCGACAAAATGTCCAGTGAGAAGTTCATTGAAACTTTGAAAGGCAATCATTTTTTATCAACAAGTTAGTACAAGGTTGCTACAATGTGCTTCCAATGTCAGGATACTTCAACACCTAAAATCAAAGTTGCTACAGTCTACTAAATGATTTTTAACCAAACTATACAATTAGTGGTCCAGCCATAAATATTATTATTTTTTGCATCATGAAGAGTCGTATATGAAGTACCTTTGGAATTCTGCATAGAGAAACAACATGTACTGTACAATCAAACTTGATTCTTCTTGGGATAAGCCAATGTTCAAGCTCCAAGGCTTACAGATATGTTTTAGTTAAAGCCGCAACATCTTTTGAATGGCACACATAAAAATCGATAATTCCATTGTGCAGTCATCAAGTCTAGTAAGTTCTCTTTTCTGCCATTAACTTCGTGAACTTGAGGTGTCCGATTTCTGCTTGTCGATGTTAGCTTGCCTCAATGTGTATGCTACAACAAAACATTAGGTGAAAATCTATCCATCTACAAATGTTCAGCATTTCCATTGGAAGAATTGTACAAAGCAAAACAAAATGAAACCCAATAAGCCAAACTCGTGCACAAGATTCAACCTCTATTTCAGGTAGCTAGTAGCTACCAATTGAATATTTGTACGCATCAGTGAGAGTTCCTTAAATACCAGATCGAGCAATATCAATTTCTATGTGCAGTTGCAAGACATTAATCCTGTAGTATTAAATACCTGGTCCAAAGGCATGTGGCAACCTGGATTGGGAGCGGCAAGATGTAGCAAAGAGCGAGCTGGATGGGGAGTCCCAGACTCCTAGTGGTGCTTGCTGTAAGGTGAGACGGGCGGCGAGCCAAGTGGCCGGCCACAAGCTTGGCAGCAGACCCGGACGGAGACCTCGTCCGGCTCAGCGGCGGCCCAAGCGTCGCCCTCCTCGTGCAGTGTAGCGGCGAACTGCTGCCCAATACGGCAATACGGCGACCCAGCGTCCTGTGCCGAGGAAGAGGAAGAAAGGGTCAGGGAGGAGACGTGAGAGTGCAGCGTCGACCAGACTAAGGGAGCACCCTCACTGGAATCAACCGCACGGGGCGGCGGCCGGGCACGGCACGTATCCCTCTTCGCCGGTGAGACGCGGGGAGGGGGAGGCATGCGAGAGCCGCCTGCTGCGTGAGTTTCGTTCGAGGGAGGGGCGGCGGCGGCGGGCGCGTGGGGGTCGTGCGAGAGAAGAGGCAGGAGCGGTTTGTTTTTCTTTTTTTTAAGGGCGAGTGGAGGTGGGCAGCGGGGAGACCGGCGTTTGTTTAGCGTTAAACACGGGATGATTTTGAGCCCTATGATCTGCTGCATTAATGGATAGGATGAATTGGTTCTCCGTCATCTCGTGTTTTTATAGTGATAGTAGATAGTAGACTAGTTGATCAACTTGCGCCGGGACATGATCAGGTAGCACATGGCTCCACCTTTTGGTTGCCTTTCCCTTGGTCTGCCCCCAAAGCCATTCCACGCGCGCATTTAGCGGCCAAAACGAGTAGTCCACAAGCTAAGTGCATGGACCTTACGGTTCACTCTTCTGTTTATAGTTTATTATATGCAACAGGTAGAATGCTCTCTTGCTGTTTCCGGTCAAGAAAATATTGTTGTTTTTTCACCAAAAAATGCTTCCTGAGCTTTCTTCTCTCATTTTTCCATGCCGACTGAGCTTTCCTCTGACCACCTCAACATTCTTCCAAACAGTGGTATCAGGAGACATGCCACAAGACTAACCAGCACAAGGTTTTGACAAAGCCAAGGCATAATATTCCCACATAGTAATAACATAACAAAAGCAAATTCAAAAGGTTGAAGAAGGGGAGGCAGGAAGCTGCGAGGATGTGCACCGCATCATCGTCATCACCAGCATCCCTCTGCGCCGCGGTCTTATATTAGCAAGCACACAAACATAAAATACACACAAGTTGAAGGAGAAAGGCAAGCAAGTTGCGCCGACATGGGCCCCACCCCTTGCAACTTCCAAACAACTTCCTGTGGTTTTGTCACGCATCTTTCCTTGCTTTGCTTTAGCTGTCAACCAGGACCCTATCACCTCCCCAATTCTCACATGTGCTCCTGCCTTTTGGTTAAAGAATTAGGCAGGAGGGGGGTGACAAGTCTTGCCTTGTGCATCCGTCTTCCTCTCACACCCTATCCTCAGCTGGACAACGCCATCCAACCTACCCGGGATCTGCCTGACCCTCCCGTGCTGCTCTGTATTTGCATGATTGGTTACACAACTATAGACGAAAGCAACTTTACAATAGACCAAAATAGATCATTGCTTGTGTTTGTAGAGAATTAGATGCCATATCACTTGTTGACTACAGGCGGAATTTGTTTCCTTAGTTATATTAGCCTGTCCATGGAAAATCATTATCCATCGCCTCGACAAAACTCCCTCCCATGAACAAACAGAATAAGAACTCATACAGATCTGAGAACCGAATCATGTAAACATACAGCCACGGGAATACAAACATAATATGAATCCATTACAATCACTTGCTTTTACAAATCAAGGATAAAACTCAATGACAATACGGAATGATCAGAGTTCACATATAGGATACAGCTATGTTTCTTTGCACTAACTTTTTTTCCTTAGCATGGCCAACTCAATATCACCATGTGTTAACATGCCAAAACTTCTCTCGGGCTTCGGGCACCGGTCATCATCATTTGCTACTTCTCTTTACATCGGAACTATGGAGGCGAATAACATAGAACCATAACCTAAAACAAAACGCTAGAACATGATATGGGATAAAATATTCATGACTTGTTGATACTCTAAGGACAAAGCACATTTCACATATTTCTGGTAAGGGCATAAGGCTTCTGTCATGCCGCCTTATTGGTTTGGCTTCAGGGCGGCATTCGGCCCCAGTCCAAGCCATGGCTGGTTCTCAAACTCCTTCTTGACTGGTGTTGCATCAGAAGGAGAAGCTTGATATGGTGCCTTTGCATGCAGACTATACGAAAACAAAAGCACAAGTTAGATCCATAAACTGTGGTGGTGAGAAAAGATGATCATGAGATCATGAGTTCATTGACAGCAAAAGCAACTTACCGATCCTTTCTCTTCTCAAGGAATCGGTGAAGTGACGCCTTTCTAGCAATTGGCAGATCTACAAGACAGAAAAGATTTTGTCAATAATCAACACAATAAGAACAAGCAACGTACATGTCAAACAACGCAATGGATATGTACAACAAATCACTGGGTAATTACCAGAAGCATTCGGACGAGCAGACTTGTGAGCATTAACCGGATCACTAGGCAAACTACTTGCCGGGGCCAGCACGGCCGTCTGGACCTTGGCGGTGTCTGCAGCAGTTGTGGTCGCAGAGACGTTCTGAACAACAGGGCTGCCCTTGCCAGCCAACTGCATCAGGCCCTTTGCCTTGTCGGCTGGGAAATCGTTGAACACGAGCACCTTCCCACCATAGAAGATGGTCAGCTGGCTCTTGTCTTCCTCCCTGAAATTTATGTGCACACAGCAATTAAGTACACTTGCAGACTACTCTTCAGTTTTGCACTAGCTGCCTAACCAATTTTCACCAGCAAGGGGAAATGTTCTCTGGGAAACCGTATTTTTTATTCATGTACAAACAAACTCACCTCGATCAGTCGCTTTGTATCAATAAGGATACGGTTTAAGGTCGAATAGCTACGCTTTGGAGCATGAGCAAACCTAGTACTATTATAACTCGGAGCATGGATGGTTGATTGCTCCATCCCAAGAAGAAATCATCTCAACCCAGGGAGCAGTTGGTTGCAAATATTAAAATCGGTTAATTACAATCACTCTCAGCTAGATTTCAGGCCTTGCATAATCCAGTACGGTTCAGATAAACCGAACAGATAGAAAGGTTTCTCCACTCGCCATCTGACTTTTATCTGTATGTATGGATTCTGACTTGCACTAGCGTAAGGCTAAAAATGGAGCAGAGAAAAGTGGCACGGTCAAATACCTGGTAGCATCAGGGGCGGCGGCGTCCTGCAGGCCGGCGCTCTGCGGGAAGAGCTCCATGGTCTCCTTCTTCCTGCCGGCCTCCTCGCCCTCCGCCCCGGGCAAAGTGCTCTTCGTGTCCGCCGCCCTGTGAGCCTCGGCCTCACCTGAAACCCAATCAAAGCCTCAGATCAGAGAGCTGGATTTCACAATTCACTCCACCAGCCACCAAATTCCAGACCAGATCGACGCGACGAGGACCTTCGTCCCCAAAATCGGGAAAACAGACTCAGATCTCGCGCGGAATCCCCCCAGAGGACAGAAACTTTTTCCCACGAATCGGAACGCAACCTCCCCCAACCAAATAAATAAATAAACAAACAGCGAACAGCTCTGGTGAAGCGCCCAAATCCCGAAACACGGCCGCTCACCCTTGTTGATTCCGAGGCCGAGCTCGGCGGCGGCGGCGCCGTTCTGGCGGACGTAGCGGCTGAGCAGGCTGCAGGCCATGGCGAAGCTGGTCGCCCTCTCCCCCTGCCTCGCGGAAGCCGCCATCTCCGGTCTCTCTCTCCCTAAGCTCCACCTCCGAACCGCCTCCCCTTCCCCCAAACAAACCTCAATAGCGCAGACGGAATCGCAAACGGAATCGGCCGAGCTCGCCCGTGGTGCTAGCCTCGCGGCGGTGGTGGGTGGTTGGCTCGCCTTCCTCGTGCGGTGCGGGATGGTATGGTGGTGTGCCGTGTGCGTACGCGCTTATAAGGGAAGGACGCGGTTTCTGGCTAAGCAAAATTGAAATCCAGCCCCCGCGGTGGAAAACGGATTAATCTAGTGCGAGCGTGGGTGCCATCTCGATGGTTGGATTAGTTTAGCGCATTTATTAAGCGGGGCGGAGGGACCGCGATGATTGCGGGAAATTTCGCACGTGGTTCGTGTGGAGGAGGGGGAGGTGGGGCTTTCACGGCCGGCACCTTTCGAAATTCTCTTTCCTTCTTTCTCTCTCTCTTGCTTGGTTGGGTTGATTTTTTCACCCGCGGGTGGGGGCCCCGCCGTCCCCATGTGCGCGTGCTTAACCACCGTGCGGAATGCGATCGTGGCTGTACTGTGGCGCGGCACGAGCGCCTGGCGCTTGCCTGTTTGGTCAGATCCGGGTTTTGACCTCACACTGCCCCATCACTGTTCCCTCGTGACTCCTACGAGTAGCATTTCTCTCAATCTTGCTCTCCCTCAAATATCTCTTAGCGCTGTGAAAGTAAGTTATAAGACTAGTACTGTACCATGCATAACTTCGTAAAACTTCATAACATATCTGTCGGTGGTATCATGCAAGTCTTAGTTCATGTACATGTAGGCTCATTTTGATTCGAGGTGCGTTATGTTATGATAACGTATTATGTTACCTCTTATCATTAACTACTTGTCGTATAAACAAACCTATGTTGGGTGTGTTACGTTACTAGCTAAGTTATTTCTACTATAACGAGCAGTAGAAATTTTGCTCTTCCAATTTCCTTTAATAAAAATACCAACTTTATTCATTTGAAACAATAAGCACATCGCTTGTGAGAAAAGCTACAATTTCATTTACGGCCACCTCAACCATTTAATAGGAGGGTGGAGTTAAGCCAACCTAGCAAGCCCATGGGCAACATTGTTTGCTACTCTATTAGAATGCTCGAACAATATTTTACAATAGACATAAGTGTTGGAAATATGCCCTAGAGGCAATAATAAATTGGTTATTATTATATTTCTTTGTTCATGATAATCGTTTATTATCCATGTTATAATTGTATTGATAGGAAACTCAGATACATGTGTGGATACATAGACAACACCACGTCCCTAGTAAGCCTCTAGTTGACTGGCTCGTTGATCAATAGATGGTTACGGTTTCCTGACCATGGACATTGGATGTCGTTGATAACGGGATCACATCATTAGGAGAATGATGTGATGGACAAGACCCAATCCTAAGCCTAGCACAAAGATCGTGTAGTTCGTATGCTAAAGATTTTCTAATGTCAAGTATCATTTCCTTAGACCATGAGATTGTGCAACTCCCGGATACCGTAGGAGTGCTTTGGGTGTGCCAAACGTCACAACGTAACTGGGTGGCTATAAAGATACACTACAGGTATCTCCGAAAGTGTCTGTTGGGTTGGCACGAATCGAGACTGGGATTTGTCACTCCGTGTAAACGGAGAGGTATCTCTGGGCCCACTCGGTAGGACATCATCATAATGTGCACAATGTGATCAAGGAGTTGATCACGGGATGATGTGTTATGGAACGAGTAAAGAGACTTGCCGGTAACGAGATTGAATAAGGTATCGGGATACCGACGATCGAATCTCGGGCAAGTATCATACCGATGGACAAAGGGAATTGTATACGGGATTGATTGAATCCTTGACATCGTGGTTCATCCGATGAGATCATCGTGGAACATGTGGGAGCCAACATGGGTATCCAGATCCCGCTGTTGGTTATTGGCCGGAGAGGTGTCTCGGTCATGTCTGCATGGTTCCCGAACCCGTAGGGTCTACACACTTAAGGTTCGATGACGCTAGGGTTATAGGGAAAGTATGCACGCGGTTACCGAATGTTGTTCGGAGTCCCGGATGAGATCCCGGACGTCACGAGGAGTTCCGGAATGGTCCGGAGGTAAAGATTGATATATAGCAAGTATGGTTTTGGCCACCGGAAGTGTTTCGGGCATCACCGGTAGTGTACCGGGACCACCGGAGGGGTCCGGGGGTCCACCAGGTGGGGCCACCAGCCCTGGAGGCCTACATGGGCCAATAGTGGGAAGGGACCAGCCCCTAGGTGGGCTGGGGCGCCTCCCACCAAGGCCCAAGGCACCTCCAAGAGGGGAAGGGGGCAAACCCTAGGGCAGATGGGCCCTAAGGCCCACCCCAGGTGCGCCTCCCCCTCTCCCCCTTGTGGCCGCCACCCAGATGGGATCTGGGGGCTACCGCCACCCCTAGGGAGGGAACCCTAGGTGGGGGCGCAGCCCCTCCCCTCCCCCTATATATACTTGAGGTTTGGGGTGCCCAAGACACGCGATTCGATCTCCCTGTTGGCGCAGCCCTACCCCTCTCCCTCCTCGTCTCTCGTAGTGCTTGGCGAAGCCCTGCTAGAGTCCCGCGCTCCTCCACCACCACCACGCCGTCGTGCTGCTGCTGGATGGAGTCTTCCCCAACCTCTCCTTCTCCCCTTGCTGGATCAAGGCGTAGGAGACGTCACCGGGTTGTACGTGTGTTGAACGCGAAGGTGTCGTCCGTTCGGCACTAGGATCATCGGTGATTTGGATCACGACGAGTACGACTCCATCAACCCCGTTCACTTGAACGCTTCCGCTTAGCGATCTACAAGGGTATGTAGATGCACTCTCCTTCCCTCGTTGCTAGATTACTCCATAGATTGATCTTGGTGATGCGTAGAAAATTTTGAATTTCTGGTACGTTCCCCAACAGTGGCATCATGAGCTATGTCTATGCGTAGTTTCTATGCACGAGTAGAACACAAGTTGTTGTGGGCGTCGATTTTGTCAATTTGCTTGCCGTTACTAGTCTTATCTTGATTCGGCGGCATCGTGGGATGAAGCGGTCCGGACCGACCTTACACGTACTCTTACGTGAGACTGGTTCCACCGACTGACATGCACTAGTTGCATAAGGTGGCTAGCGGGTGTTTGTCTCTCCCACTTTAGTCGGATCGGATTCGATGAAAAGGGTCCTTATGAAGGGTAAATAGAAATTGGCATATCACGTTGTGGTTTTCGCGTAGGTAAGAAACGTTCTTGCTAGAAACCTATAGCAGCCACGTAAAAACTTGCAACAACAATTAGAGGACGTCTAACTTGTTTTTGCAGCATATGCCTTGTGATGTAATATGGCCAAAAGGATGTGATGAATGATATATGTGATGTATGAGATTGATCATGTTCTTGTAATAGGAATCACGACTTGCATGTCGATGAGTATGACAACCGGCAGGAGCCATAAGAGTTGTCTTTATTTATTTATGACATGCGTGTCAACATAAACGTCATGTAATTACTTTACTTTATTGCTAAAGCGTTAGCCATAGTAGTAGAAGTAATAGATGACGAGACAACTTCAAGAAGACACGATGATGGAGATCATGGTGTCATGCCGGTGACAACGATGATCATGGAGCCCCGAAGATGGAGATCAAAAGGAGCAAAATGATATTGGCCATATCATGTCACTATTTGATTGCATGTGATGTTTATCATGTTTTTGCATCTTATTTGCTTAGAACGACGGTAGTAAATAAGATGATCCCTCATTAAAATTTCAAGAAAGTGTTCCCCCTAACTGTGCACCGTTGCGAAAGTTCGTCGTTTCGAAGCACCACGTGATGATCGGGTGTGATAGATTCTAATGTTCACATACAACGGGTGTAAGACAGATTTACACACGCGAAACACTTAGGTTGACTTGACGAGCCTAGCATGTACAGACATGGCCTCGGAACACAAGAGACCGAAAGGTCGAGCATGAGTCGTATGGTAGATACGATCAACATGAAGATGTTCACCGATGATGACTAGTCCGTCTCACGTGATGATCGGACACGGCCTAGTTGACTCGGATCATGTAATCACTTAGATGACTAGAGGGATGTCTATCTGAGTGGGAGTTCATAAGATGAACTTAATTATCCTGAACATAGTCTAAATTGTCTTCGCAAATATGTTGTAGATAAATAGCTCACGTTGTAGCTCCCTATTTCAATACGTTCCTAGAGAAAGATTAAGTTGAAAGATATTGTAAGCAATGATGCGGACTAGGTCCGTAGTCCGAGGAGTGTCCTCACTGCTACATAGAAGGCTTACGTCTTTGGTGCACCGCTCGATGTGCAAACCCCTACAACATCGTCTGTGGATGTTGTGAACACCTAACAGACACGTCCTGATGACTACTTGATAGTTTAGTGCACCATACTTTACGGCTTAGAATCGGGATTAGAATGACGTTTTGAACGCCATAAGACATATGAGATGTTCAAAGAGCTGAAATTGGGATTTCAGGCTCATGCCCGTGTTGAGAGGTATGAGACCTCTGACAAGTTCTTTTGCCAACAAGATGGAGGAGAATAGCTCAGCTAGTGAGCATGTGCTCAGAATGTCTGGGTGCAACAATCACTTAAATCAAGTGGGAGTTAAACTTCCGGATAAGATAGTGATTGATAGAGTTCTCTAGACACTATCACTAAGCTACCAGATCTTCGTGATGAACTATGACATGCAAGGGATGGAGTTGATCCCGGAGCTGTTCGCGGTGCTTAAGACCGCAAAAGGTAGAAATCAAAGAAGGAGCATCAAGTGTTGATGGTTTAACAAGACCACTGGTTTCAAGAAGGGCAAGGGCTAGAAGGGAAACTTCATGGATGGTAAACCAGTTGCCGCTCCAGTGAAGGAACCCAAGGTTGAACCCAAACCCGAGACTAAGTGCTTCTATTGTAAGGGGACGGTCACTGGTAGCGGAATTACCCCAAATGCATGGTAGATAAGAAGGCTGGCAACT